CGGCCCCCTGGACACACAGGCTCCCGGCCCCCTGGACACACAGGCTCTTGACCCACTGGACACACAGGCACCCGGCTCTGGACACACAGGTTCCTGACCCCCTAGACACACAGGCGTCTGGCCCCCTGGACACACAGGCTCCTCATCACCCAGTCCTGGCCCCCTAACACACAGGCACCCGGCCCCCTGGACACACAGATACCAGGCCCCCTGCTCCAGAGGCTGAAGGGTGGCTGCTGCTAAGGGAAGTCGCCCCATAGGCCCTGGGTATCCCATTCCTGGCTCATGCAGGAGACACTTCTGCAGATGCCTGTGGCTCCTGGACTCGGTGACCCCCACCCACTGGGAGTGCTCTGAGCAAGGATATTTGCAGCTCCAGAAATGTGAAGACAACATGCGTCTGCCCCTTAGACATGGCAAGGGAGAAACCAGCTAAGCCAACCCCCTGCTCCTGGTACACGCCCACAGCCTGGCTAGGGGGCACTTGCATACTCACTGCTGCCCCAGCAGCTCCTGGGCAACTGTGGGTCCTTCCTGCTGGTGCTTGGCTAGGTAAGACTTTCTACCCATCCTGCACATGGGTAGAAATTCTCTCAGGCCTTGCTTATTGTAGGTGTGGGGCCCATGGGGTGGGAATGGCATTGACTTTGGAACCACACAGACCTGGGTTCAGGTTCCCATTCTGTCCTTACTGGCTGTGGGACTTAGCCTGTGATGCACTCCACTTCTTCACGTGCAGCACAGGTACCCCCACCCCACGCGCCTGGCGGCGCACCCTGAAGCTCAGCTGCAATGCTGTCAGCCTCCGTCTCTCAGAGTCCCCCAGATTTACAAGGCCCTTGGGTGTCTGTGCAACGACCTCCAAAGGGAGTCTTCACAGCAGTGCGTGCTTGTCGCAAGTCTATCTTCTGTCAAGGTTCCGTAGTGTTTGCGTGTGACTCACTCAGCTAAATAACTTGCATTTTTCAGAATGCACAGTTGCCCACAGCCACAGTTGAAGTCTGAATGCTCCTCTGCGTGCCTTCAAGTTACTCCATGTCCACTGCAAGAGTCTAACATAACTTTAACAGATTAGTTCTAGTTTAAGATTTCGGCCGGGCGCTGTGGCTCACGCCTGTAATCCCAGCTCTTAGGGAGGCAGAGGTGGAGGATAGCTTGAGCCTAGGAGTTCAAGACCTGCCTGGCTAATATAGCGAGACCCTGTTCTCCACAAAAAGGAAAAAAAAAAAAAGAGATTTCAGCCTAGGCCGGGCAGGGTGGCTCATGCCTGTAATCCCAGCACTTTGGGAGGCCGAGGGGAGATGGATCACTTTAGGTCAGGAGTTTGAGACCAGCCTGGACAACATGGTAAAACCCCATCTCTACTA